AACTCTAAGTGCTAAGACAGGAGATTTCATCCATGTGGCCAACTCTAAGTGCTAAGACAGGAGATTTCATTCATGTGGCCAACTCTAAGTGCTAAGACAGGAGATTTCATTCATGTGGCCAACATTAAGTGCTAACTAAGACAGGAGATATCATTCATGTGGCCAACACTAAGTGCTAGCTAAGACAGGAGATATCATATATGGTGCCAACACTAAGTGCCAACTCAGGAGATATCATTCATGTGGCCAACACTAAGTGCTAACTCAGACAGGAGATATTATATATGTGGCCAACACTAAGTACTAACTCAGACAGGAGATATCATATATGGGGCCAACACTAAGTACTAACTAAGACAGGAGATATCATAAATGTGGCCAACTCTAAGTGCTAACTCAGACAGAAGATATCATATATGTGGCCAACTATAAGTGCTAAGACAGGAGATTTCATTCATGTGGCCAACTCTAAGTGCTAAGACAGGAGATTTCATTCATGTGGCCAACTCTAAGTGCTAAGACAGACAGAGATTTCATTCATGTGGCCAACTCTAAGTGCTAAGACAGGAGATTTCATTCATGTGGCCAACTCTAAGTGCTAAGACAGGAGATTTCATTCATGTGGCCAACTCTAAGTGCTAAGACAGGAGATTTCATTCATGTGGCCAACTCTAAGTGCTAAGACAGGAGATTTCATTCATGTGGCCAACACTAAGTGCTAATTAATCTAGGTTCAGCTGGATAAAGATTCAACACCACAGCATTCAGAACAAGCTGACATTAGCTCCCTCTGACTCCTCAACAGCCAGTGATGAATCTCTATACTGATGGCTCCTTGGATCATCTGATGAACTATTTATCTTTGTTTCCCCTAGTGTATTGGGTGGTGGCCAGTCACTCCCTGCTGCATAATTCTCACCAAGTACGGGTTTTCAGTTTCTTCCATTTTACTTGTTAGCTCATTTCATGGAGAGGGATCACCTGACCTTGTGCAGTTGCGGCACACTCCCCAACTAGACCAGTCCAGCCAACCTGTCTGTCTGTTCATTCCCAAACATGACATGCATGGCCCTGGCACAACATCTGACTCTAACCATCTGTGACCTCTGAATTGATGTGACCCTTTCCATATGAAGAAAACATAGTTTCAGTCCCTATATCTACAATATTTGTGTCACACTGACCCGTTCCACATGAAGAACACATGTTTTCAGTTCCTATAAGCCAGGCTCTCTAGCGTTGTTGGCTAAAACGGACTGGGTGGTGACCGGGTGACAAACTCCTTGTGGTCCGGGTTCACTCCCGGGGGTAGGCAGAAAAGCCACATTTTCTTCCAGATTTACGGTACCTATCATGGAATCAAGGCCGAAGGGTTGCGATATCCATAGTACCGAGCCAAAGGGTTAACAACTCATGGTTTCTGGATAAAAAAACAAGCAAACAGTCCCTATATCTACAATATTTGTGTCACACTGGCCCCTTCCACTTTCCATGTACTTCTTTCCTATGTCCATCCATCCTAGTTAGGATAAGTTCTCAGATGCTGACCAGAAGTCACTGGCTTCATAGCTCTTTGGACTAGTGTAGCACTTGTCACTGGCTTTATAGCTCTTTGTCACTGACATATAAAGGTTGTTATGTGTGTGATATTTGTGGCTTTAATATTTTATACATTTGTGTCTCTACGTGTACACATGAGTGTTTGTTCCTAACATAAACACATGTTTGAACAAAGAAGACACAAACCATAGACATTGTAGTGACCTGCCCTGGTAAAACAGACAGTTGCTTTTGAGAGTGTTTAGATTTGTACTTCAGTTATAAAAATTCACAGATCTGCTGAGTTTTATTTACTTGCTACTGTAGGGATCACCTGAGAAGATATAGCAACATCTGCCAGGCAAACAATTTTGCAGTGGGTTTCTTGTTTCATTTGTTCAAATTTACAAACACTTGTTTAATAAACACATGTGTTTGTTCTGTATATACATGTACACATGTATGACTGTTTGTAATGTTTGAGTGTTTGTTATGTACATGCATGCACACATGTGAGAGCGTTTGTGCTGTGCATGTACACATGTGTGAGTGTTTGTTATGTATATGCATGCGCACATGTGTGAGTGTTTGTTCTGTATATGCATGTACACTTGTGTAAGTGTTTGTTCTGTATATGCATGTACACATGTGAGAGTGTTTGTGCTGTATATGCATGTACACATATGTAAGTGTTTGTTCTGTATATGCATGTACACATGTGTGAGTGTTTGTTCTGTATAAGCATGTACACATGTGTAAGTGTTTGTTCTGTATATGCATGTACACATGTGAGAGTGTTTGTGCTGTGCATGTACACATGTGTTTGTTCTGTATATGCATGTGTCAATGTTTGTTCTGCACATAGATGTACACATGTGTAAGTGTTTGTTCTGTATATGCATGTACACATGTGTAAGTGTTTGTTCTGTATATGCATGTACACATGTGTAAGTGTTTGTCCTGTACATGCATGTACACATGTGAGAGTGTTTGTGATGTATATGCATGTACACATGTGTAAGTGTTTGTTCTGTATATGCATGTACACATGTGAGAGTGTTTGTGCTGTGCATGTACACATGTGTAAGTGTTTGTTCTGTATATGCATGTATACATGTGTCAATGTTTGTTCTGCATATAGATGTACACATGTGTAAGTGTTTGTTCTGTATATGCATGTATACATGTGAGAGTGTTTGTGCTGTATATGCATGTACACATGTGTCAATATTTGATCTGCACATGCATGTACGCATGTGTAAGTGTTTGTTCTGTATATGCATGTACAAATGTGTGTTTGTTCTGTATGTACATGTACACATATGTTAGTGTTTGTAATGTGTGAGTGTTTGTTATGTACATGTATGTACATATGTGGGAGCATTTGTGCTGTGCATGTACAAATGTGTGAGTGTTTGTTCTGAGTCTGTACACATGTGTGAGTTAATTGTTTGTTCTGTATCTTTACACAAGTGTGTATGTGTTTGTTCTGTACACATGTGTGAGTGTTTGTTCTGTATCTTTACACATGTGTGAGTGTTTGTTCTGTGCATGTACGTACACATGTGTGAGTGTTTTGTTCTGTATCTGTACACATGTGTGAGTGTTTTTTCTGTGCATGTATGTACACATGTGTGGCTGTTTGTTATGTGCATGTACGTACATATGTGTGTGTGTGTTTATTCTGTATCTCTACACATGTGTGAGTGTTTGTTCTGTGCATGTAAGCACACATGTGTGAGTGTTCGTGATCACATATCTCTGTTTAGGGACAATACAAAAGAAATGAAAAGTATAAAATATTGGCTCAACTTTGCACACCAATGACCCACCGAATGCCTTCACAGGTGCTGACTGCCACGCTGGACCACTCCTGTCCCACCACCAGGCCATGATAGTAGCAATGCTCGGTTATCTGATGAAACACAGGATATACATGTCTTTCAATACACCATCTACTGATGCATCAACAGAATTCTACTGATACATCAACAGACATGTGTCTCATAACTCATCCATCTTCCTGTGGGTTTCCTAGGATTTCCTTTGTCTCCAAGACCCTTCTCCCAAGGCCACAATCTTGCTCTGAGACATGCCATGTTGGTCTGTGTGGTTATATGTCTGTCCACCTTCTACTGGGAGGCTGTACTGTTCAGTTTCATGCAGGTCCATGATGAACTATTTGAATTTGGGCTGAGAATCAAACAATGGTTACTCCAACATCTGCCAGACCATTTTCTTACATGCATTCTTCCAACACAGACAAGACAACTAGATCAGACAATACAACTAGACCAGATCACAGAACTAGACCAGACAAGACAACTAGATCAGACAACACAACTAGATCAGACAATACAACTAGACCAGACAAAAACAACTATACTAGACAATGCAACTAGACCAGACAACACCAGCTGTAAACTCTGGAGGAAGTTCTTGTTGTTCGTCCATTTTGCATGCAGTCATTGGCAGAGGGGACCAACAGTCTGCATACAAAAAAACAAAATCTGTCAAATAGAAGTGCACATAAAACTCAAGTTCTAGATCAAGATCAATGTCCAGAAATGGACGCACAACTTCCCCCCCCCCCCCCCCCCCCGAACCCCACCCACACCCCCGAGAGTTTACAGCCAGTGAATGAGAAGAAGAACAGAAAATTTCCATCTGTCAAGAAGAATTGTTCTTAGTTCTTGTGGAACTTTATCCAGTTATACAACACACCTGATATTAGCACTGACACAACACACCTCACATGAGCACTGACACAACACATCTCACATGAGCACTGACACAACACATCTCACATGAGTACTGACACAACACACCTCACATGAGCACTGACATAACACACCTCACATAAGCACTGACACAACACACCACACATTAGCACTGACACAATTCACCTCACATTAGCACTGACACAACATACCTCACATGAGCACTGACACAACACACTACACATTAGCACTGACACAACACACCTCACATGAGCACTGACACAACACACCTCACATGAGCACTGACACAACACACCTCACATTAGCACTGACACAATACACCTCACATTAGCACTGACATAAAACATCTCACATTAGCACTGACACAACCCACCTGACATTAGCACTATCACAACACACCTCACATTAGCACTGACAAAACCTTTTTTTTTATGTTATATATAACACATATGACACCAGAGCTGACACAACACATGTGACACTAGAGCTGACACAACACATGTGACACTAGAGCTGACACAACACATGTGACACTAGAGCTGACACATGTGACACCAGAGCTGACACAACACATGTGACACCAGAGCTGACACAACACATGTGACACCAGAGCTGACACAACACATGTGACACTAGAGCTGACACAACACATGTGACACCAGAGCTGACAAAACACATGTGACACCAGAGCTAACACATCACATCAGAATATTTGCATACTTTTGTCAAGATCTGTTGATTGTCTTTCTCATAATGTTTGACAGTTATCCCAGCAGACAAGAGAGCTCTGAAACATCAAAGTAGCAACAGTAATCCAGGTAATGGAGAATATCAAAGAAGCAACAGTAATCCAGGTAATAGAGAATATCAAAGTAGCAACAGTAATATAGGTAATGGAGAATATCAAAGTAGCAACAGTAATCCAGGTAATAGAGAATATCAAAGTAGCAACAGTAATATAGGTAATGGAGAATATCAAAGTAGCAACAGTAATCCAGGTAATGGAGAACATCAAAGTAGCAACAGTAATCCAGGTAATAGAGAATATCAAAGTAGTAACAGTAATCCAGGTAATGGAGAATATCAAAAGAGCAACAGTAATCCAGGTAATGGAGAAATCAAAGTAGCAACACTAATCCAGGTAATAGAGAATATCAAAGTAGCAACAGTAATCTAGGTAATGGAGAATTTCAAAGCAGCAACAGTAATCTAGGTAATGGAGAACATCAAAGTAGCAACAGTAATCCAGGTAATAGAGAATATCAAAGTAGCAACAGTAATCCAGGTAATGGAGAATATCAAAGTAGCAAAAGTAATCCAGGTAATAGAGAATATCAAAGTAGCAACAGTAATCCAGGTAATGGAGAATATCAAAGTAGCAACAGTAATCCAGGTATTGGAGAATATCAAAGTAGCAACAGTAATCCAGGTAATGGAGAATATCAAAGTAGCAACAGTAATCCAGGTAATAGAGAATATCAAAGTAGCAACAGTAATCCAGGTAATGGATAACATCAAAGTAGTAACAGTAATCCAGGTAATGGAGAACATCAAAGTAGTAACAGTAATCCAGGTAATAGAGAATATCAAAGTAGTAACAGTAATCCAGGTATTGGAGAATATCAGAGTAGTAACAGTAATCCAGGTAATGGAGAATTTCAAAGCAGCAACAGTAATCCAGGTAATGGAGAATATCAAAGTAGCAACAGAATCCAGGTAATGGAGAACATCAAAGTAGCAACAGTAATCCAGGTAATGGAGAACATGAAAGTAGCAACAGTAATCCAGGTAATGGAGAACATCAAAGTAGCAACTGTAATCCAGGTAATGGAGAACATCAAAGTAGTAACAGTAATCCAGGTATTAGAGAACATCAAAGTAGCAACAGTAATCCAGGTAATGGAGAATATCAAAGTAGCAACAGTAATCCAGGTATTGGAGAACATAAAAGCAGCAACAGTAATCCAGGTAATGGAGAATATCAAAGTAGCAACAGTAATCCAGGTAATGGAGAACATCAAAGTAGCAACAGTAATCCAGGTAATGGAGAACATGAAAGTAGCAACAGTAATCCAGGTAATGGAGAACATCAAAGTAGCAACAGTAATCCAGGTAATGGAGAACATCAAAGTAGTAACAGTAATCCAGGTATTAGAGAACATCAAAGTAGCAACAGTAATCCAGGTAATGGAGAATATCAAAGTAGCAACAGTAATCCAGGTATTGGAGAACATAAAAGTAGCAACAGTAATCCAGGTATTAGAGAACATCAAAGTAGCAACAGTAATCCAGGTAATGGAGAATATCAAAGTAGCAACAGTAATCCAGGTATTGGAGAAAATAAAAGTAGCAACAGTGATCCAGGTATTGGAGAACATCAAAGTAGCAACAGAATCCAGGTAATGGAGAACATCAAAGTAGCAACAGTAATCTAGGTAATGGAGAACATCAAAGTAGCAACAGTAATCTAGGTAATGGAGAACATCAAAGCAGCAACAGTAATTCAGGTAATGGAGAACATCAAAGTAGCAACAGTAATCCAGGTAATGCAGAATATCAAAGTAGCAACAGTAATCTAGGTAATGGAGAATTTCAAAGCAGCAACAGTAATCCAGGTAATGGAGAATATCAAAGTAGCAACAGAATCCAGGTAATGGAGAACATCAAAGTAGCAACAGTAATCCAGGTAATGGAGAACATGAAAGTAGCAACAGTAATCCAGGTAATGGAGAACATCAAAGTAGCAACTGTAATCCAGGTAATGGAGAACATCAAAGTAGTAACAGTAATCCAGGTATTAGAGAACATCAAAGTAGCAACAGTAATCCAGGTAATGGAGAATATCAAAGTAGCAACAGTAATCCAGGTATTGGAGAACATAAAAGTAGCAACAGTAATCCAGGTATTAGAGAACATCAAAGTAGCAACAGTAATCTAGGTAATGGAGAATATCAAAGTAGCAACAGTAATCCAGGTATTGGAGAAAATAAAAGTAGCAACAGTGATCCAGGTATTGGAGAACATCAAAGTAGCAACAGAATCCAGGTAATGGAGAACATCAAAGTAGCAACAGTAATCTAGGTAACGGAGAACATCAAAGTAGCAACAGTAATCTAGGTAATGGAGAACATCAAAGCAGCAACAGTAATTCAGGTAATGCAGAATATCAAAGTAGCAACAGTAATCCAGGTAATGCAGAATATCAAAGCAGCAACAGTAATCCAGGTAATGGAGAATATCAAAGTAGAAACAGTTATGTTATGTTATCACAATTGACGTCCTTGCACATTGGGCGGCATCACCATGTGTGCTCAATCCATGAATGCAGCAGCCACTACGAGGTACCTCTACTGATTGTTACCATGAGGAGTTGGTTATAGTACCTCCTGTCTTTACATAGAAGACCACATAGACATGCTTCATCGAGCTTACTTCTTGGTCACGCAGTCATGTTCGCATCACAGATTCACCGATATCACCCAAACTAGCCTGCACAGCATTGATGATATCAGCTCTGTCCATGCTTCTTTCCATTTACATTGGTGCAGTACTTACCAACTGTTCAGCTCTTTCATTACCACGTACTCCTGCATGCCCAGGTATGTAGATCCAGATTATGGAGGTTAACTGCGACTTTCAAATGCTTTCTACCCATTGGGGGCATAGACCCTCGGTAGCAATTTTCTGAAGCATGTTCATGGAGTCTGAAACAATTACTATATGTGTGGTCGCTTGTTCTGCTTCCAATGCGAGTGCTCTGGAAGCAGCAGTTATCTCCATGGTCGTGCTTGACCTAGTCGTCTGGTAAGCACCGCTATCCTCTTTTATTGTTTTCCCCATCCTTTGCACTGTGTATGCCAATGCTGGTATTGTGTGTTTACGCCTGTGTGTGCACGCATGTGAGTGTGCACGGGTGTGAGTGCGTGTGCGCATGAGTGTGTGTGTGTGTAAAAGTGTGATGAATGTGTGCTCTAAGTTCAGCAGTACAAGAATCAGACATGTAGTTTACAGGTATCAAGTTCAGATAATCAACAATCCAAATAACCCAGACTCACTCGTTTCTTAACAGCCTGATCTTGTAGAGTCTGCCGTCCAGCACTAGTTGTATGGTGAGCTGCTGCACATGCTCGTGGCTGCCCTGTCAAGAGATAAGAAACTTTCTGTCATAGAAGTCAGCAGACACTGAATATTCATTGTTTGCTAGGTATAGAATACAGACAACTGGGGACAGTCACATACAGAAGTCAGCAGACACTGTATATTCATTGTTTGCTAGCTATAGAATACAGACAACTGGGGACAGTCACATACAGAAGTCAGCAGACACTGTATATTCATTGTTTGCTAGCTATAGAATACAGACAACTGGGGACAGTCACATACAGAAGTCAGCAGACACTGTATATTCATTGTTTGCTAGCTATAGAATACAGACAACTGGGGACAGTCACATACAGAAGTCAGCAGACACTGTATATTCATTGTTTGCTAGCTATAGAATACAGACAACTGGGGACAGTCACATACAGAAGTCAGCAGACATCGTGTGCTAGCTCTAGACTACAGAGAACCAGGGACAGTTGCCGGGGACAGTTGTCAGGGACAGTTGTCAGGGACAGTTGTCAGGGACAGTTGCCGGGGACAGTTGTCAGGGACAGTCAGACACAGAAGTCAGCAGACATCATGTGCTAGCTCTAGACTACAGAGAAATGGGGACAGTTGTCAGGGACAGTTGTCAGGGACAGTTGTCAGGGACAGTTGTCAGGGACAGTTGCCGGGGACATTTGAAAGGGACAGTTGTCAGGGACAGCTGTCAGGGACAGTTGTCAGGGACAGTTGTCAGGGACAGTTGTCAGGGACAGTTGTCAGGGACAGTTGTCAGGGACAGTTGTCAGGAACAGTCAGATACAGAAGGCAGCAGACATCATGTGCTAGCTCCACTAGAGACAATGGAGACATGTCAGGAACCTGGTCTCACTAGAAGACATGTCCTGGTCTCACTAGAGGACAATTTACATGTCCTGGTCTCACTAGAGGACAACTTACATGTCCTGGTCTCACTAGAGGACAACTTACATGTCCTGGTCTCACTAGAAGACAACTTACATGTCCTGGTCTCACTAGAGGACAACTTACATGTCCTGGTCTCACTAGAGGACAACTTACATGTCCTGGTCTCACTAGAGGACAACTTACATGTCCTGGTCTCACTAGAGGACAACTTACATGTCCTGGTCTCACTAGAGGACAACTTACATGTCCTGGTCTCACTAGAGGACAACTTACATGTCCTGGTCTCACTAGAGGACAACTTACATGTCCTGGTCTCACTAGAGGACAACTTACATGTCCTGGTCTCACTAGAGGACAACTTACATGTCCTGGTCTCACTAGAGGACAACTTACATGTCCTGGTCTCATTAGAGGACAACTTACATGTCCTGGTCTCACTAGAAGACAACTTACATGTCCTGGTCTCACTATAGGACAACTTACATGTCCTGGTCTCACTAGAAGACAACTTACATGTCATTGGTCTCACTAGAGGACAACTTACATGTCCTGGTCTCACTATAAGGACAACTTACATGTCCTGGTCTCACTAGAGGACAACTTACATGTCCTGGTCCCACTAGAGGACAACTTACATGTCCTGGTCCCACTAGAAGACAACTTACATGTCCTGGTCCCACTAGAAGACAACTTACATGTTCTGGTCCCACTAGAAGACAACTTACATGTCCTAGTCCCACTAGAAGACAACTTACATGTCCTGGTCTCACTAGTGGACAACTTACATGTCCTGGTCCCACTAGAAGACAACTTACATGTCCTGGTCCCACTAGAGGACAACTTACATGTCCTGGTCTCACTAGAGGACAACTTACATGTCCTGGTCTCACTAGAGGACAACTTACATGTCCTGGTCTCACTAGAGGACAACTTACATGTCCTGGTCTCACTAGAGGACAACTTACATGTCCTGGTCCCACTAGAAGACAACTTACATGTCCTGGTCTCACTAGAAGACAACTTACATGTCCTGGTCTTACTAGAGGACAACTTACATGTCCTGGTCTCACTAGAGGACAACTTACATGTCCTGGTCTCACTAGAGGACAACTTACATGTCCTGGTCTCACTAGAGGACAACTTACATGTCCTGGTCTCACTAGAGGACAACTTACATGTCCTGGTCCCACTAGAAGATAACTTACATGTCCTGGTCTCACTAGAGGACAACTTACATGTCCTGGTCTCACTAGAGGACAACTTACATGTCCTGGTCTCACTAGAGGACAACTTACATGTCCTGGTCTCACTAGAGGACAACTTACATGTCCTGGTCTCACTAGAGGACAACTTACATGTCCTGGTCTTACTAGAAGACAACTTACATATCCTGGTTTCACTAGATGACAACTTACATGTCCTGGTCTTACTAGAATAACTTACATGTCCTGGTCTCACTAGAGGACAACTTACATGTCCTGGTCTCACTAGAGGACAACTTACATGTCCTGGTCTCACTAGAGGACAACTTACATGTCCTGGTCTCACTAGAGGACAACTTACATGTCCTGGTCTCACTAGAGGACAACTTACATGTCCTGGTCTCACTAGAGGACAACTTACATGTCCTGGTCCCACTAGAGGACAACTTACATGTCCTGGTCTCACTAGAGGACAACGTACATGTCCTGGTCTCACTAGAATAACTTACATGTCCTGGTCTCACTAGAGGACAACTTACATGTCCTGGTCTCACTAGAGGACAACTTACATGTCCTGGTCCCACTAGAGGACAACTTACATGTCCTGGTCTCACTATAGGACAACTTACATGTCCTGGTCCCACTAGAAGACAACTTACATGTCCTGGTCTCACTAGAGGACAACTTACATGTCCTGGTCTCACTAGAGGACAACTTACATGTCCTGGTCTCACTAGAGGACAACTTACATGTCCTGGTCTCACTAGAGGACAACTTACATGTCCTGGTCTCACTAGAGGACAACTTACATGACCTGGTCTCACTAGAGGACAACTTACATGTCCTGGTCTTACTAGAGGACAACTTACATGTCCTGGTCCCACTAGAAGACAACTTACATGTCCTGGACTCACTAGAAATCAACTTACATGTCCTGGTCCCACTAGAAGACAACTTACATGTCCTGGTCTCACTAGAGGACAACTTACATGTCCTGGTCCCACTAGAAGACAACTTACATGTCCTGGTCTCAATAGAGGACAACTTACATGTCCTGGTCCCACTAGAAGACAACTTACATGTCATGGTCCCACTAGAAGACAACTTACATGTCCTGGTCTCACTAGAGGACAACTTACATGTCCTGGTCCCATTAGAGGACAACTTACATGTCCTGGTCCCACTAAAAGACAACTTACATGTCATAGTCTCACTAGAAGACAACTTACATGTCATGGTCTCACTAGAGGACAACTTACAAGTCCTGGTCCCACTAGAAGACAAATTACATGTCCTGGTCTCACTAGATGACAACTTACATGTCCTGGTCCCATTAGAGGACAACTTACATGTCCTGGTCCCACTAGAAGACAACTTACATATCCTGGTCTCACTAGAAGACAACTTACATGTCCTGGTCTTACTAGAGGACAACTTACATGTCCTGGTCCCATTAGAGGACAACTTACATGTCCTGGTCCCATTAGAGGACAACTTACATGTCCTGGTCTCACTAGAAGACAATTTACATGTCCTGGTCTCACTAGAGGACAACTTACATGTCCTGGTCCCACTAGAAGACAACTTACATGTCCTGGTCTCACTAGAAGACAACTTACATGTCCTGGTCTTACTAGAGGACAACTTACATGTCCTGGTCTCACTAGAAGACAACTTACATGTCCTTGTCCCACTAGAAGACAACTTACATGTCCTGGTCTCACTAGAGGACACCTTACATGTCCTGGTCTCACTAGAGGACAACTTACATGTCCTGGTCTCACTAGAGGACAACTTACATGTCATGGTCTCACTAGAGGACAACTTACATGTCCTGGTCTCACTAGAGGACAACTTACATGACCTGGTCTCACTAGAGGACAACTTACAAGTCCTGGTCTCACTAGAGGACAACTTACATGTCCTGGTCTCATTAGAGGACAACTTACATGTCCTGGTCTCACTAGAAGACAACTTACATTTCCTGGTCTCACTATAGGACAACTTACATGTCCTGGTCCCACTAGAAGACAACTTACATGTCCTGGTCTCACTAGAGGACAACTTACATGTCCTAGTCTCACTATAAGACAACTTACATGTCCTGGTCTCACTAGAGGACAACTTACATGTCCTGGTCCCATTAGAGGACAACTTACATGTCCTGGTCCCAACAGAAGACAACTTACATGTCCTGGTCCCACTAGAAGACAACTTACTTGTCCTGGTCCCACTAAAAGACAACTTACATGTTCTGGTCCCACTAGAAGACAACTTACATGTCCTGGTCTCACTAGTGGACAACTTACATGTCCTGGTCCCACTAGAAGACAACTTACATGTCCTTGTCCCATTAGAGGACAACTTAATGTCCTGGTCCCATTAGAGGACAACTTACATGTCCTGGTCCCATTAGAGGACAACTTACATGTCCTGGTCTCAATAGAGGACAATTTGCATGTCCTGGTCTCACTAGAGGACAACTTACATGTCCTGGTCCCACTAGAAGACAACTTACATGTCCTGGTCTCACTAGAAGACAACTTACATGTCCTGGTCTTACTAGAGGACAACTTACATGTCCTGGTCCCATTAGAGGACAACTTACAGGTCCTGGTCCCATTAGAGGACAACTTACATGTCCTGGTCTCACTAGAGGACAATTTACATGTCCTGGTCTCACTAGAGGACAACCTACATGTCCTGGTCCCACTAGAAGACAACTTACATGTCCTGGTCTCACTAGAAGACAACTTACATGTCCTGGTCTTACTAGAGGACAACTTACATGTCCTGGTCTCACTAGAAGACAATTTACATGTCCTGGTCCCACTAGAAGACAACTTACATGTCCTGGTCTCGCTAGAGGACACCTTACATGTCCTGGTCTCACTAGAGGACAACTTACATGTCCTGGTCTCACTAGAGGACAACTTACATGTCCTGGTCTCACTAGAGGACAACTTACATGACCTGGTCTCACTAGAGGACAACTTACAAGTCCTGGTCTCACTAGAGGACAACTTACATGTCCTGGTCTCATTAGAGGACAACTTACATGTCCTGGTCTCACTAGAAGACAACTTACATTTCCTGGTCTCACTATAGGACAACTTACATGTCCTGGTCCCACTAGAAGACAACTTATATGTCCTGGTCTCACTAGAGGACAACTTACATGTCCTAGTCTCACTATAAGACAACTTACATGTCCTGGTCTTACTAGGGGACAACTTACATGTGCTGGTCCCACTAGAAGACAACTTACATGTCCTGGTCCCACTAGAAGACAACTTACATGTCCTGGTATCACTAGAGGACAACTTACATGTCCTGGTCCCACTAGAAGACAACTTACATGTCCTGGTCTCACTAGAAGACAACTTACATATCCTGGTCTCACTAGAGGACACCTTACATGTCCTGGTCTCACTAGAGGACAACTTACATGTCCTGGTCTCATTAGAGGACAACTTACATGTCCGGGTCTCACTAGAGGACAACTTACATGTCCTGGTCTCACTAGAGGACAACTTACATGACCTGGTCTCACTAGAGGACAACTTACATGTCCTGGTCTTACTAGAGGACAACTTACATGTCCTGGTCCCACTAGAAGACAACTTACATGTCCTGGACTCACTAGAAATCAACTTACATGTCCTGGTCCCACTAGAAGACAACTTACATGTCCTGGTCTCACTAGAGGACAACTTACATGTCCTGGTCCCACTAGAAGACAACTTACATGTCCTGGTCTCACTAGAGAACAACTTACATGTCCTGGTCCCACTAGAAGACAACTTACATGTCATGGTCCCACTAGAAGACAACTTATATGTCCTGGTCTCACTAGAGGACAACTTACATGTCCTGGTCCCATTAGAGGACAACTTACATGTCCTGGTCCCACTAAAAGACAACTTACATGTCCTGGTCCCACTAGAAGACAACTTACATGTCATGGTCTCACTAGAGGACAACTTACAAGTCCTGGTCCCACTAGAAGACAACTTACATGTCCTGGTCTCACTAGATGACAACTTACATGTCCTGGTCCCATTAGAGGACAACTTACATGTCCTGGTCAAATTAGAGGACAACTTACATGTCCTGGTCCCACTATAGGACAACTTACATGTCCTGGTCCCACTATAGGACAACTTACATGTCCTGGTCCCACTAAAAGACAACTTACATGTCCTGGTCCCACTAGAGGACAACTTACATGTCCTGGTCTCACTAGAGGACACCTTACATGTCCTGGTCTCACTAGAGGACAACTTACATGTCCTGGTCTCACTAGAGGACAACTTACATGTCCTGGTCTCACCAGAGGACAACTTACATGTCCTGGTCTCACTAGAGGATAACTTACATGACCTGGTCTCACTAGAGGACAACTTACAAGTCCTGGTCTCACTAGAGGACAACTTACATGTCCTGGTCTCACTAGAGGACAACTTACATGTCCTGGTCTCACTAGAAGACAACTTACATTTCCTGGTCTCACTAGAGGACAACTTACATGTCCTGGTCTCACTAGAGGACAACTTACATGTCCTGGTCTCACTAGAGGACAACTTACATGTCCTGGTCTCACTAGAGGACAACTTACATGTCCTGGTCCCACTAGAAGACAACTTACACGTCCTGGTCTTACTAGAGGACAACTTACATGTCCTATTCTCACTAGAGGACAACTTACATGTCCTGGTCTCACTAGACGACAACTTACATGTCCTGGTCCCACTAGAAGACAACTTATATGTCCTGGTCTCACTAGAGGACAACTTACATGTCCTAGTCTCACTATAAGACAACTTACATGTCCTGGTCTTACTAGGGGACAACTTACATGTGCTGGTCCCACTAGAAGACAACTTACATGTCCTGGTCCCACTAGAAGACAACTTACATGTCCTGGTATCACTAGAGGACAACTTACATGTCCTGGTCCCACTAGAAGACAACTTACATGTCCTGGTCTCACTAGAAGACAACTTACATATCCTGGTCTCACTAGAGGACACCTTACATGTCCTGGTCTCACTAGAGGACAACTTACATGTCCTGGTCTCATTAGAGGACAACTTACATGTCCGGTCTCACTAGAGGACAACTTACATGTCCTGGTCTCACTAGAGGACAACTTACATGACCTGGTCTCACTAGAGGACAACTTACATGTCCTGGTCTTACTAGAGGACAACTTACATGTCCTGGTCCCACTAGAAGACAACTTACATGTCCTGGACTCACTAGAAATCAACTTACATGTCCTGGTCCCACTAGAAGACAACTTACATGTCCTGGTCTCACTAGAGGACAACTTACATGTCCTGGTCCCACTAGAAGACAACTTACATGTCCTGGTCTCACTATAGAACAACTTACATGTCCTGGTCCCACTAGAAGACAACTTACATGTCATGGTCCCACTAGAAGACAACTTATATGTCCTGGTCTCACTAGAGGACAACTTACATGTCCTGGTCCCATTAGAGGACAACTTACATGTCCTGGTCCCACTAAAAGACAACTTACATGTCCTGGTCCCACTAGAAGACAACTTACATGTCATGGTCTCACTAGAGGACAACTTACAAGTCCTGGTCCCACTAGAAGACAACTTACATGTCCTGGTCTCACTAGATGACAACTTACATGTCCTGGTCCCATTAGAGGACAACTTACATGTCCTGGTCCCATTAGAGGACAACTTACATGTCCTGGACCACTATAGGACAACTTACATGTCCTGGTCCCACTATAGGACAACTTACATGTCCTGGTCCCACTAAAAGACAACTTACATGTCCTGGTCCCACTAGAGGACAACTTACATGTCCTGGTCTCACTAGAGGACACCTTACATGTCCTGGTCTCACTAGAGGACAACTTACATGTCCTGGTCTCACCAGAGGACAACTTACATGTCCTGGTCTCACCAGAGGACAACTTACATGTCCTGGTCTCACCAGAGGACAACTTACATGTCCTGGTCTCACTAGAGGATAACTTACATGACCTGGTCTCACTAGAGGACAACTTACAAGTCCTGGTCTCACTAGAGGACAACTTACATGTCCTGGTCTCACTAGAGGACAACTTACATGTCCTGGTCTCACTAGAAGACAACTTACATTTCCTGGTCTCACTAGAGGACAACTTACATGTCCTGGTCTCACTAGAGGACAACTTACATGTCCTGGTCTCACTAGAGGACAACTTACATGTCCTGGTCTCACTAGAGGACAACTTACATGTCCTGGTCCCACTAGAAGACAACTTACACGTCCTGGTCTTACTAGAGGACAACTTACATGTCCTATTCTCACTAGAGGACAACTTACATGTCCTGGTCTCACTAGACGACAACTTACATATCCTGGTCCCACTAGAACACAACTAACATGTCCTGGCCCCACTAGAAGACAACTTACATGTCCTAGTCTTACTTGAGGACAACTTACATGTCCTGGTCCCACTAGAAGACAACTTACATGTCCTGGTCTCACTAGAGGACAACTTACATGTCCTGGTCCCACTAGAAGACAACTTACATGGCCTGGTCCCACTAGAAGACAACTTACATGTCCTGGTCTCACTAGAGAACACCTTACATGTCCTGGTCTCACTAGAGGACAATTTACATGTCCTGGTCTCACTAGAGGACAACTTACATTTCCTGGTCCCACTAGAAGACAACTTACATGTCCTGGTCTCACTAGAAGACAACTTACATGTCCTGGTCTTACTAGAGGACAACTTACATGTCCTGGTCTTACTAGAGGACAACTTACATGTCCTGGTCTCACTAGAGGACAACTTACATGTCCTGGTCCCACTAGAAGACAACTTACATGTCCTGGTCCCACTAGAAGACAACTTACATGTCCTGGTCTTACTAGAGGACAACTTACATGTCCTGGTCCCACTGGAAGACAACTTACATGTCCTGGTCTCACTAGAGGACAACTTTCATGTCCTGGTCAGACTAGAAGACAACTTACATGTCCTGGTCCCACTAGAAGACAACTTACATGTCCTGGTCTCACTAGAGGACACCTTACATGTCCTGGTCTCACTAGAGGACAACTTACATGTTCTGGTCTCACTAGAGGACAACTTACATGTCCTGGTCTCACTAGAGGACACCTTATATGTCCTGGTCTCACTAGAGGACTACTTTCATGACCTGGTCTCACTAGAGGACAACTTACATGCCCTGGTCTCACTAGAGGACAACTTACATGTCCTGGTCTCACTAGAGGACAACTTACATGTCCTGGTCTCACTAGAAGACAACTTACATTTTCTGGTCTCACTAGAGGACAACTTACATGTCCCGGTCTCACTAGAGGACAACTTACATGTCCTGGTCTCACTAGAGGACAACTTACATGTCCTGGTCTCACTAGAGGACAACTTACATGACCTGGTCTTACTAGAGGACAACTTACATGTCCTGGTCTCACTATAGGACAACTTACATGTCCTGGTCTCACTAGAGGACAACTTACATGTCCTGGTCTCACTAGAGGACAACTTACATGTCCTGGTCTCACTAGAGGACAACTTACATGTCCTGGTCTCACTAGAAGACAACTTACATGTCCTGGTCCCACTAGAAGACAACTTACATGTCCTGGTCTCACTAGAGGACAACTTACATGTCCTGGTCCCACTAGAAGACAACTTACATGTCCTGGTCTCACTAGAGGACAACTTACATGTCCTGGTCTCACTAGAGGACAACTTACATGTCCTGTTCTCACTAGAGGACAACTTACATGATGGCGGATCTTTTGTTTCCTAGTGGAGACCTCTAAGACATGGCCCCTGTCCAGCTGCTGGGGGAAGATGACCTCATACGGTTGTTTGATGTTGGCCAGCAGCTGGCGGTTGTACTCGTTGGTGGTCAACAGGTCCCGCAGATCTCTATCTGTTGGTAGACAAGACCAGTACTGTAAGCAAGGGAGTCTACATACTAGTAACATATAGACACTTGTTATTATGTCTGACTGTATGTGTTGACAAGGAAGTCTACATACCAGTAACATATAGTCAGTTGTTATTGTGTCTGACTGCATGTGTAGACAAGGGAGTCTACATACCAGTAACATATAGTCAGTTGTTATAATGTCTGACTGTATGTGTAGAAAAGAGAGTATACATACCAATAACATATAGACAGTTGTTATTATGTCTAACTGCATGTGTAGACAAGGGAGTCTACATACCAGTAACACATATACAGTTGTTATTATGTCTGACTGCATGTGTAGACAAGGGAGTCTACATACCAGTAACATATAGACAGTTGTTATTATATCTGACGGTATGTGTAGACAAGGGAGTCTACATACCAGTAACATATAGACAGTTGTTATTATGTCTGACTGCATGCGTAGACAAGGGAGTCTACATACCAGTAACATATAGACAGTTTTTATTGTGTCTGACTGCATGTGTAGACAAGGGAGTCTACATACCAGTAACATATAGACAGTTTTTATTGTGTCTGACTGCATGTGTAGACAAGGGAGTCTACATACCAGTAACATATAGACAGTGAATTTTTACCAAGACCTGACTGCATGTTGATGTGGACAAGGGAGGAAGCCTACAGAACAGAAACAACACAGAACATATAGACAGCGGCTATTATTATGTCTGACTGCATGTGTAGACAAGGGAGTCTACATACCAGTAACATATAGACAGTTGTTATTGTGTCTGACTGCATGTGTAGACAAGGGAGTCTACATACCAGTAACATATAGACAGTTGTTATTATGTCTGACTGCATGTGTAGACAAGGGAGTCTACATACCAGTAACATATAGACAGTTGTTATTATGTCTGACTGCATGTGTAGACAAGGGAGTCCTACATACCAGTAACATATAGACAGTTATTTATATTAATGTCTGACTGCATGTGTAGACATGGGGAGTCTACATTACCATCTTGAATTATACTAGACAGTTGTTGATTTATGTCGACCTTCCTGCATGGTGTAGAACAAGGGAGTCTACATACCAATGTAACATATAGACAGTTGTTATTGTGTCTGACTGACACACTTTGAATTGTAGACAAGGGAGTCTACATACCATAACATATAGACTAGCAGTTTGTTAATTATGTCTGACTGCAATAGGTGTGGTAGACAAGGGAGTCTACATACCAGTAACATATAGACAGTTTTGTTATTATGTCTGACTGAAATGGCGTAGACAAGGGAGTCTACTTACCAGTAACTTTATAGACAGTTGTTATTCATTGTGTCTGACTGCATGTGTAGACAAGGGAGTCTACATACCATGTAACATATAGACCTTATTATTGTGTCTAGACTAGAATGCGTAGACAAGGGAGTCTACATACCAGTAACATATAGACAGTTATTATTGTGTCTGACTGCATGTGTAGACAAGGAGTCTACAGGGCTACCAGTAATATATCTGACAGGTTATTACCTTTGTGTCTGACTGAATGCGTAGACAAGCCCCGAGTCTACATACCAGTAGACATATAGACAGTTGCCTGTACTATATCTGACTGCATGCGTAGACAAGGGAGTCTACATACCTAATTGTAAAACATAGACTCTTGTTATTCATTGTGTCAGTCTGGACTGCTAGAAATGTGGTAGACACTGTAATGCAAATGGGTGATACTGAATGCTCTACAAGAAGATGAGAGCCAATGGATGACTGTGAATCTGCAACCATGACCAGACTACAAGAAGATGAGAGCCAAGGGATGACCGTGAATCTGCAACCATGGCCAGGAGATATTATAGAACATACACATTAGAAAGGGATTCCTAACCAGTACTAGAGCCCATGCAGTTAAGACTGGAAACGCAGTTTAAAGAATCTCAAATCCTTACACAGAACTATTTTTAGGTGTGTCTCAGCGGCTATCACGCTTCTCTGAGGATTGATTATTAAGCACAATATAACTTCTGAGACCACTGACGTCATTTCGTCACAACAATAGAGACTTGTTTAACAGACCCATATGTAGAGACCAGAAGCACTGAGGAAATGTAACAAAGTAGGATGTGCTCAATGAGTGAATATGCAGACATACACAAAGATAAACACACAACTGATAGAACACAGATTTTTTGTTGACAGCCCCACACTGACTTCACTCACACACACACACACACACATAGACACACACACGTGTACATACACCCACATACACATAGACACCCACACACTGACTTCACACACACCCACACACATACACACACACCCACACACTGACTTCACAATCACATACATCCACATACACACACATACACATAGACACACACACACATGTACATACACACATACACATAGACACACACCCCAGATGTTTTTGTTCACAGCAAACACACAATGGACACACTGTAGAGACACACACCCGCATAATGCCACACCCTCACTGAAACTTACACTCACACACCCACACAAACACTCACATACACCCACACCCACACACATACACACACACACACCCACAAACTGACTTAACACTCACATACACCCACACAAACACTCACATACACCCACACACACACACAGAAAGAGAGACAGAACACTGAGCAGCCTCCAGCTACAAGAGGTGAATATGCAGATGTATGCAGCAGAGACAATACGGATCAATAGCTGTCTTGGGTGTTTGGACTTGCAGGGACAAACAACAGAGGCTGGCTAGCAGAAGTCAAACACCACAGAGTCGCCCCACCCCCCTTCAGTGACAACAACCACCAGCAATTAGTGGCCCTGTTCCCTGCAGCGACCTCTGACACCAGCTTATAACAGCTCACATGGGCCAGGGCTGTTCAACATTTCCCACAACAACACAGAAATATCTTATATTAGGTCACGTCGGCCAGAGCTGTTCAACATTTCCCACAACAACACAGACATATCTTATATTAGCTCACATGGGCCAGGGCTGTTCAACATTTCCCACAACAACACAGACATATCTTATATTAGCTCACATGGGCCAGGGCTGTTCAACATTTCCCACAACAACACAGACATATCTTATATTAGCTCACATGGGCCAGGGCTGTTCAACATTTCCCACAACAACACAGACATATCTTATATTAGCTCACATCGGCCAGGGCTGTTCAACATTTCCCACAACAACACAGACATATCTTATATTAGCTCACATCGGCCAGGGCTGTTCAACATTTCCCACAACAACACAGACATATCTATATTAGCTCACATCGGCCAGGGCTGTTCAACATTTCCCACAACAACACAGACATATCTTATATTAGCTCACATGGGCAGGGCTGCCAGACATATCTTATATGTTCATCGGCCAGGCTGTTTTCCCACAACAACACAGACATATCTTATATTAGCTCACATCGGCCAGGGCTGTTCAACATTTCCCACAACAACACAGACATATCTTATATTAGCTCACATCGGCCAGGGCTGTTCAACATTTCCCACAACAACACAGACATATCTTATATTAGCTCACATGGGCCAGGGCTGTTCAACTTTTCCCACAACAACACAGACATATCTTATATTAGCTCACGTGGGCCAGGGCTGTTTAACATTTCCCACAACAACACAGACATATCTTATATTAGCTCACCTCGGCCAGGGCTGTTCAACATTTCCCACAACAACACAGACATATCTTATATTAGCTCAAGTTGGCCAGGGCTGTTCAACATTTCCCACAACAACACAGACATATCTTTTATTAGCTCACCTCGGCCAGGGCTGTTCAACATTTCCCACAACAA